TGGCGGTAAGAGATTTGCGGACAATGAAGAAGTAATCGAAGCTGTAAATGGTTATTTTGAGGAGCTTGACGAATCAGTCTATAGAGATGGCATTAATAGACTGGAACACCGCTATGAGAAATGTATCAGCCTTGGAGGAGATTATGTTGAGAAATAAAAAAAAAAAATTTTTAAAAACCTTGTTTTTCTTGGTCAGGCCGGAAACTTATCAATCCACCCTCGTATAATATTATTTGTTCTTTTTTTGTTATTTACGTTTAATATAGTGAATACGCCCCTTAAGTAAATGACAGAAGGGTAGTAAACACTTTTCAGATTTTACGTTGTTTGGTGATGGTATATAAGTATATGAAATTCAAAATTTCGGATTTTTATATTTAAAAATGGGTAACTAAGTAACCAATGTTACTAATAAAGGACAAATTAACAATACAATTTCACATTTTGTGTTTTAAACTTTTATTTTAAATGTGCTTTGTTTTGTTGGGAGTGACGTGACACGCCTATGACGTCATGTAATCAATCTTTTTAGTGCCAAAAAGACCTCAACTGTAAAATTGTATTTAGCTACTAACTTTTGTGTAATACAATTCGGAAGTTTTTATTAATTTTGTCCACGTTTAAAAAACCTGTACTTACAAAATCTTATTACTTGCAATTAAGTAATTAATAGTTTAGCAAGTATGCTCCCTTATTCGCCGAATTAGAGAGAGGAAAATCCGAGAGAGAAATTTAATTGACGTGATAATAGCAGTTGATGGAAAGGGAAGTCGAACTTTTCCAATTTAAGTTGGATCGCTAAACGGCACTTTTAGAACGGTTCTTTGTCTTGAAATACAATCCTTATAAAGCTTTATCACAGTCAAACAAATAACGATTAATGTGGACAGTAATAATTCATTAATTTTCATCATCTACAATTTTCTCTAATGATGGAACGCCGAATTTTTATTGGCAGCGAACAAAAGAAACTTATTTACATTTCAAATTCCTTATCACAGGCGATCTGTTGAAAATATAGTATAATATAATAATGCGAAATGTATTGTTGACTACAATTTATTATATTTTTTTTTAATTTGAAGATTAATTGGGATGGTTGACAGGTTTGGGGCCCTCACCAGTCGCATATGAAGCTTACAAAATGACAGAAATAATTTACAACAGAGCTCCAAACACACTAGTCGCATTTAGGAAATGCTTCTAGTTATAAAGATCATTTTCTTCCCTTTCCCAGATGTATATGTATACATGTCATGAACGAATACCGCAGGCGATCGATACCTGCCGCATCGTTTTCTATTGACTGCAGAATTAGTCTGTACGAAAGCCTCATTTATTTTAATGGTATATATCTACCTTGAAAGATCATTCTAAATATTGGTGAAAGAATTTTTAAAATCGGATGAGTGGTTTCAAATATTATCCATTAAATCCAAATTTACAAACTTTACTTCCTTATAGTTTTAGAATAGATTGAAGAAGTTGATTTAAATAATAGTCATATTTATAAAATCGTTCTTGTGGTTGGAATGTGACAGAAAAATAATCTAGAAAGAGATTTATTTTGTTGGTAATTTATTAGTTGTAATTTTAAAAAGGAGAAGGAATAACGAGATACATAAATGAAAAACACATCAAAAAGGCTGCACATGCCTTCGAGTATGCCTAACAGGTTTTTATCAAGCTTTTTAATAATTTCGCGTTAAGGATTGACCTATTTAGAGGATTCTTTAGATATTAGAGTTAAATTTTAATGGAAGTGTTTGGGATTATAACGAAATCCAAAGGTTCGAGGTGCGTTCTCAGTAGTGAGTGAAAATTACAGTAAAATGCTGCAATTTACCATTTTATTATTAATTACGTTTTAATTAACAATAGTTAAAGTATTAAAAAAAAAAAACATCGAAGAGTGGATATAGCTTAAACCGATTTATTAACAATCAACGTTCAAATTTGTTTTTCCCTTATTGTAGCTACTCTCTTAATCTTTTATGTAATACCACTTACCACCACTTGCTGGTATGCTTGAGCTTCCAGGCTTCCAGTTTTTTTTTTGGGCAAAATTTTCATTGAAATACCTGTACCTACTTATACGGTGCACGTTTTATAAGCCGTTTGACCTATCGTTACGCACTCTTTTTTAATGAGCCTAGTCCCGAGACGATCGAGACCTATGCAGCCACTACTTCCGAATTGCTATTAAGATAATTGGATGTATATAATTTTTGTTAAAGTGAATTATATTGAATTGCATGGCTTTAATTAATCGTAAATAAGAAAATTTTAATTAAAACGTGCAACAGCTGATGAAAATAACGATTATTTAAGTTTAAAATGGTCGTATGGTTAATCTAAGCAAGGTATAGCCCAATTTATCACAATTAGTTTTCACTATTCGTTCACGATGGCGCTTAGCCAAGTAGCTCTGATTACATTTAATTTAATTAGAGCGTAAAGTCTATCTGTTAGTGCTCGATTCGCGAACATATTTAATCCAATTTTTCTAAGTGATTTTCAAGCGATTTAACGAATCTAGCAAATACGTACGTGAAAAATACGTATATACGTCTCAAGAAAATCTTACCATGACGTTATAAAATTTTTCGCATTATTATTGTTTTGGCCTGAAGTTTAGGCGGCGCGGTGAGGTTAAATCACGAACATTCGACGATTTGTTTCAATTTGAGGAATATTTTTCAACGGCTTTCGTATTAGATTTGGAGGCTTGACAGATCAAATAAAGTTGTATTTTTTTGTAGTCCTTGTTTTGACAAGAACCGAGAACAGAACCATGTGTACAATACTTAATCACGAACAAAATCAAATTGAAGGAATTTTTCTTATTAAAAAGATGTTGTTTCTTTAAGTCATACCTTTTCAGGGGTGTACACAGTAAAATTGTAGCATGTAACGGATGTTGCGCGCGCGGAATGCAACGGAAGCTTAGAAATGATTTTTCTTTTGAGCCGTCGACTTTCTGTAATTAGGTAATTATTAAAACTTACTACATGTAAAATTAAAAGATGGGTTAAAAATTTATAATTCATCATCATCATAAGGTCGTCAGTCCTAAGACTGGTTGGACACGCACCTCCACTCTTTCCTACCCTGAGCTAACCTTCGCATTTTCCTAAAACTAAAACATCCTACATCCTTAACTATTTGCGAACAGTACTCTAATCTCGGTCTATCTCTTCTCTTCTTAACTCCTGTTTCTGCCTTTAATATGTCTCTGACTAGACCTTCATGCCTGAGAAGGTGTCCTACCAACCTATCTCTCCTATTTTTTATCAACTTCCCTGGAGTCCTCTGTTCTCGTATTCTTTCTAATACCTATTCATTTCTAACTTTCTCTATCCACAGTATCCTTATCATTCGCCTGTAACGCCACATTTCAAACGCTTCTAACCTATTCTTTTTCGTCGCGCCCACCGTCTATGTTTTGCACCCGTACAGCGCCGTGCTCCAAACATACACCTTTAACAATCTTTTTCGAAGTTCTTAACCTAATCGTTCCCGAGCATAGAAGTGAGTTCTTTTTATTGAAGACGACTCAATCCTGCGTTATCCTCTGCTTTATTTCCTTATTACTCCTTCCGTTGACTTATTTGACTTCCTAGATACCTGACATTCGCTCTTTCCCTACTTGTTCTTCCCTTGCATACCAGTATGATTGTTTTACTTTTTTTTATTTTTAATTAAAAAACACCAATTTTTTAACGTGTTGAGCGTGCTTAAACGAAAATATTTGGTTGACGTAGGGTCATATATATTTACTATAATTAGGTTATAGTAAACAGAAAAATCATTATCGTTTGTTTCTATCCTAATTTTTTGAACTAAATTTCATATTGTTTTAAATAAATACGTTCGCAGGTAACTAAACGCATCAAAAGATTTTTATACAAATAAAGCGGCAGTAATGTCATCTAATTATACAGATAATTCATTAAAATGACAAAAGTACACTGTTCCGAAAAACAATATAGTGTTAAAACAAACTATTTTAATTGAACTGATTACTTAGCCCACAAGAAGTTGTTAGCTTTAGCTTTAAAGGATGATCGTCTTTATGGGTATCGGTAAAACAATCAAGGGTTTTCGTAGGTTTAAAAGAAAACTGATTTTTATGGTTTGTGTATACGGAGCGGTTAACGTAACCAGCACTCACCCAATCCATGAAAATAAAGGTTAAACGAATAATAATAGACTGTATTAGACGAAGAAGGCTTACTATTATCGGAAGTTCTTTTGGTTTATGTACAAGGGATACCTACCTAAACTTTACGACGAAATAAAAAGAGCTTTTATAAATCCTGCTCCTAATTTTTTTTTCGGGGAAGAACATAATATCATTAAACAGCTATCAAAGAAGATGTACACAGTTCTTGATAAAAAACTAAATGTAAAACTTTTCGTAATAACTTTCATTCAAATTCAGATATTTTGTTTATAATAATTAGGAGGGCATCCCACCCTTTTGCTTTTCTAAAAATTTTAAAGCGAATTTCGTATTACGTAAGGGTTAAAATTAATTATACCATAACATTTTGTTGTTAAATTTTAGGAGACCTATTTCAGGTCATCTCACTTTCCTATCCTGAGCTAAACTTCGAATTTCCCTAAAACTAGAACAACCCACATCCTTAACTATTTGCGAACAGTAATCTAACCTAGGTCTACCTCTACCCCTTCTAACTCCTGCTTCTGCCTCTAATATGTCTCTGACTAGACCTTCATGTCTGAGAAGTTGTCCTACCAACCTATCTCGTCTATTTTTTATTGACTTTCTAATACCTCTTCATTTCTAACCTTTTCTATCCACGTTATCCTCAACATTCGCCTATAATACCACATTTCGAAGGCTTCTAACTTTTTCTTTTCCGCTGCGCCCACTGTCAGAGAAATTTACGAAATGTACAGTTAGCAAAAATTTTTTTTTTAATTTCCTATTGGCCCCTCGAAAAATAACCTCCATGTTCAAAATTAATTTATTTCCGTTATGCGTTCGTGTATGGGTCACAGAAATTCATATGCGTACTAAATTTCAACTTAATCGGTCTAGTAGATTCGGAGGAAATTGACCGTGACAAACGCATAGACAGACACATAAGTTCCGTTTTACGTGCGTATATATCTCATGGGAAAACGACAATAAGTAATTTTTAGTACCTATGCAGGAAATTAGCCTTGCACTTGATTCGAATTGTTCTTTTCAGGACGATCTTGTTGATAACAAGGACCTGACCAGGTGGTCGGCGGTGAAGAAAGACAGACGCGGACTGGCCGCTCAGGAAATAGAAGACAGGGACAGTGCCGCATCGATGCGAATGAAACAAACAAAGGCAAGATTGAACGATTTAGAGGAAGAGATGGAAGCGCTCGCCGAGAGACAGGCAGCTAGAGAAAAAAGGGCGGCTAGATTGAAACAACTTGTTGCCGAAACAACTGGCGCTGACGACTTCGAACCTGCAGTAGCAGTCGCTAAGAAATCAGTACGCATAAGGGCCAGGGAAGTGAGAGAGGAAGAGGACGAGTTCTGAAACGATTTAGGGATCATTCAATAAGCGCACTTTCAAGGTTGAAAATTCTTTTTAATAAAACGAGAACAGTGTAAGTTAAATGAGCCATGAAATTGTAAAAAAAATCAATTATTATTTGCAACTTACAGTGCATTTAACTTCTAAGAAATGCCCATGGTGGATATTAAAAAAAACTCCTTTTGCCTGGAAAGAGTTTGTTCATTTTTAAAGTTCATGTAACGTTGGTATTAACGAGGGCAGTGGGGCAATAGGTCAATAATATATTTAGTACTTTAAAGAGGCATCCCAAATTTTTAATTAATGAGTATAGTGGAATTGAAGAAAGTACGTAATCTTCATATATAGTGACTCACAAAAAGTACTTAATTATTTTTGGAAAGCACGTCAAATTTTGATAATAATTCATACATCACACTACATATACGATAATGTTAAATGCGTAGTAAGTATATCAGGGATTGAACATAATTAGACTTATTCAAATTATATTATTAAGGTTATTAAAATTTCACTTAAGACAACCTGTTGGCTGAAGTATCTATGCACATTAACACTGATTTTTCATTACTTTTAAAATTTACGTTATTCAAAATTTTGTATAACTAATTTATTAAAAATAATTTCGTAAAATAAAAAAGATATGTTATTAGATTAAAGGCAACAAGTAAAATGGTTGAAACTGTCAACGGTGTGCTGAAGAGATCCAAATAGATAGAAATCCGTGTTTCGATAGACCAGTGACAAAGAACTTTTGCTCAGGTAGTAGATGATTTATTATTTGGGATTGTTGGCATTTTAATGCATTTTTTCATTTAAATGTATTGATTAGTTCTATTACCGAATAAAAAGTTTAGTCGTATTAGTTTCACAAAAAAAAAAAACCGTAAGCTGGTCAACAAAACTAATTTTCTTTTACGTTTTTTAAAATGGTGTGCTGTATTAATTCAAACATTAAGTCACTTTAATGTACTGAACTTAATCCTACAATTTTTTTTTAAATATTTGCAATCCGTTTCATCCGAATGATTTCACGTAAAAAAGTCTTTATCCGAAATTGTTCAAGAAACTTCCCGTATTATCAGGTACCTTCTGTCGGTGATTCCCCAAGCGTGTTTACGGGATTCACTATTTTGTAGGTATTATTACAATGCAACAGAAATTTGAGGCAATTAGTCGTTTAAATAGAAGTAAATTGCATAAAAAGGTAGTAGTTTTAGAATGGCAAAAAATGTGATAAAATTGAAAAGTGGAAAATTATGAAAAGGAAAAAATATCTGTATATCCTTTTTATCAGAAATTTCGATTATCCGAATTCAAATGCGTTCACATATTTCGGGATAATCGGAGTTCTAACTGTTTCGCCCTTCCATGTATATGCCACTGAGTATTCCTTAATTATCTCAATAGTTTGTTCACATGCAGCATTTTTTTTATTACCCTGTTTTTGATGATGTATTTTGTACACATACATATTATTTAATGTCAATTTTTTTACAAATAATTTATCATTTTAACATCGTTCAAATCTAATTTGTTGGAATGTGTTGTAAGGTATTACATATATTGTGAAGAGTTAAGAAAATTATTTACACTTGTATATTTTAAACCTTGAAAGATGTTTTTTCGTTAAGGATGGTTGCTTAGGAATTTTGTAAAAAGTGTAGGAAATGTGTAAGTTTATTGTTTTTATCTACAATTACGTATGCAATTAAAAAATGTGTTTATATTGAATTGCGTTTTTATACTTTAGTTCTGTAAACCTAAAGAAAATTCGAATCATAGTTAAAATTAGAAGATCCAGTAAGTTGTGAAATGTAAAAGACTAATTTTCACATAATCAAAAATTTAATCAAAGCATTGGCGCGTAAAGCCAAAGAGCCCGGGTTCGATTCCCGGCGGGGGTGTGACAACAGCAACAAATTTTTCCTCATTAATTTGAGGAAGTGTGTAGTGGGCAAAAAAAGAATTCAAGAAATGAATTTTCAGAATAATATTTCATATTAAAACATTAAATTTAATAACAAATAATAAAAACACGTTGAAACTGATTTGTTTTAGTAAATACCAAAATTTAATATTGTTGCTCCTTCTCGTTCGAGGTCATGCCAACCTGTTCGCTGTGCGTGGATCGACAAAAGCCCATATTACATGAGGCTTGAATTGTCAATCCACGCTCCGTGTAACGGGTTCGGCGCGACCTGGAACGAACAGGCGCGTCCTAGGGGTACCTATGTTTCTTTTCATGGCGGCGGCGGACGCATGGAACGCAGATCCACGCTCTACGCGCCGTGTAACGCCGATCCACGCTCTACGCGCCGTGTAACGCTGATCCACGTTCTACGCGCCGCCTAACGACGATCCACGTTCTACGCGCCGCCTAACGACGATCCACGCTCTACGCGCTATGTAACATGACCTAATGAACACCTTAGGACATTCCTTCACATTCCAGGTCGTGTCGACCCTGTTACACAGTGAATCGGCATTCCAATTAATACACTACAAATACTTTTTTTGGTTGGGGCAGAGGGTGGAACTGGAAGGGGTGGAGAGAAATATCGAATATTACAAAATCCAAATCATAACATTAGCCACTTTAACGTATTATAAAATATTTTTCGATTCATAGATGACGCCATGTGTAGGAGAATCATAATGCCATTTAGAAACGCTGCCGCACCGCAGTGCAAATTTGGATGCTAATAATGATACAAAATGGATGTACAAGTACAATAAGTATAATGCCTTATGCGCATAGATACAACGTCTAACAGAAGATACAAATGCTGATTAGTTAATTTGTTATTTATGATACATTTTACAAACAATCCCCTAATTCTAATTGATGTTCAAAATTGTATTCAGTCGTTCGGGTTTACCCGTCCGTTGCGTCAGTACAAATTTTAACCTCAACTATTTTCTCTCAAATAGTTGGCAAACAGCGTAGGGCCCTGGGTTGTTTTGATATTCGACACGTGTAGGGTCACACGTGTTAAAATTAATATATTCGTCCTCAGTTAATTAAATAATCAGAGGGCAGCGTTTATAACATGACCAAAATAACACTAAGGGATAATTAGGACTACATCCGAAATGTATAAATAACGGCCAACCAGGATTCCTGTACGCAGAAATCTGTAGGTACTACCAGATTAATAGTTGTTTTATCTGTTGATTACGTCAAGATACTTCAAAATTTATCAATGGAGTAGCCAGTACTTTATTACTATATTTTTTATTTTAAATACTATCGGTTAGGATTCATTTTTGATCTTTATTTATATAGAAATTAATAGAGGGGGTTTTCCTAAGTTGTGTTTCAATGAGGCGAATTTCGATTTTATGATTAATTTTTCCGCTAGAGTTCCTATAAGAAAATGAAAGAAATTATATAAAAAATATTTTTCATATTCGAATTTAGAACGTTCGAATTGGTTAGAATCCACTCTTAAATACTGAAAATTGAAGAAAAAGGTTTGGGCAGCCTTGATATACCACGGTAGAAAAGTTTTCCGCTAGTTACCCATGGAATTGGAAAACCCATCGAATTACTCAGGCTCAAGGACAACCCCTCTATTTACTTCTGCAAAAATCTTAGATGTAGAATTACGATTCGGGCTAAAGGGCTTTGGTCTAAACGAACTGTTAACTGCAGGTGGTTCATTGGCAACTAAGGGTGACATCGTGAGTGTGAACGTGGGTGAACGTTATAACCTTATTGTTAACGCAGTACCATTCACCCACAGTTACCGATGATATATCTGGACCTAACAGTTAATTTAGATTAAAGCCTTTCAGCCTGAATCATAAATTTACGATGGATTCCAGTCGTGTCTGTTATTATAAAAACTTTTTTCTATTAACTATTATCACTAAATCACTTTAAAATTTAATTATTAAAAGAAGCACGAACTAAGCAATTAGGCTCCTAGCAAGTTCAGAGTTTTCTTCGTTTGGGAATCAGTAGTTTCGAAAGAAATACGAGGGTGGATTGATAAGTTTCCGGCCTAACCAAGAGATGACGCCACTAGGCCTACCTTGAGGTGACATTCTATAGTACCATCCTTGGATAGCTTGTAGCTATAGTTTCAGCCCGATCTCCTTGCTAGTGTAGGTTTGACAGCACG